CCCCCAGACTCGGCACCTCCAGGCTCAGCACCCCCAGACTCCGCACCCCCAGGCTCAGCTCCCGCAGCAGCACTAGAGTCACCAGTGACCTCGACAGGCTCGACCGCGTCTACCTGGGACACACCTGAAGGGGCAGGACCCGGAGGGGGGAGGGGGACTACTGGGGGGGGACCTGGTACCAAGAAGAGCGGGGGTGGGGGGAGGGACGGAGTGCGGTAGGGGAAGAGGCGGTAGTAGGGTACCGACTCGTCGAACGTGACGTCCTGGGAGGACAGAACACGTCGAGAGGTGGGGTGGTAAAACTGCCACCCAGGGGCGTCGGGGGGGAACCCCAGGAAGACGCAGGGAGAAGCACGAGGGGACAGCTTGTCCGCAGACAGGTCGCGAACAAACGCCCGAGATCCCCAGACCCGGAACGCCGACGCATCGCCAACCTTCCCCGTCCACAGCAGGGCTGGGGAGGTCAGCACCACTCACCAAGTTCGTCGAGAACGAGGGGAGGTAAAGACCAGTCAGGGTGCCAGAGGGGGCCGCCGGACACGGGAGGACAGTGGAGAAGCGAGACAGGACAGGCCCCCCAGAGGGGTCAGCCAGGGACACCGCAACCGGCCGACTCAGCGGCGTGAGAGTGGTGCGGTCCCGAAAGAAGGAGCGAGACGCTCCAGAGTCAAGGGTGAAGGTGTGAGAGGCCGAAGCCGACACAGTACCTGAGAGGGCAGACTCACCAGCACCTGAGAGCACAGACGCACTGGCACCTAGAGCAGCAGCCTCACTAGTACCTGACGCGGCAGTACCAATGCCCGGGCCGGGCGGGAAACACCGGTAACAGTCATCCTCATCACTACCAATCGCAGCATACATAGCAGAGAGAATAGCATCAAAATCAAGATCATAAATAGCTACACCAGCCCTAGACAGCTCTCCCCAGCGGGGGATCTCAGCTGCCTCCGGAAACTGCTGACGCCAGGCGTCAGTCAGGCGGCCAAAGCAGCGGCGGGCAGTGTGGGCGCCTCCACACCTCTCCCCTGCACGGTCACCGGTGCGGAGAACGTAGGGGCAAGGACCAAGCGCACCACCACGCTGACGCTGCGAGTACCACTCACGGAGCTGCTGAGGGGCGGGGACGGTGCGAGAGCGCTGCTGCTGCTGTGGCTGCCGCTGCGGCTGCTGCTGCTGCTGCTGCTGGCGCTGACCACCCCCGGAGCTGCTCCGCTGGGACGAGCCACTCCGACCCCCGCCTCCACTGCCACCCCCGCCTCCACCGCCACCCCCGTCTCCACCTCCACCTCCCCCACCAGGACCGTCGCTCCCACCGCTCCCACCGCCTCCTCCGCTACCACCTCCGCCGCCACCTCCACCTCCACCGCCGCCACCAGTACCTCCACTCCCGCCACCACCCCCACCGCCACCCCCACTCCCCCCGCCACCCCCACCGCCTCCTCCACCGCCCCCTCTAGCTCCACCCGCTCCCTTGCCCCCCTTGCCCTTGCCAGCGCGGCGTCTGCCGCTGGGGGCAGACGCCGCGCCGACCGACTCAAAACCAGTGAGGTCGGCCGCAGCGGCAGAGGCGACAGAGGGCAGCAGGGGGGAAGGACCACACCCCTCAAAGATGGGGGTGCGAGGGTCACCCCGAGAGGCCCCTACAGCGACAATACTCTTCTCAGCCGCTAGCAGGGACTCCTCAAGGAGGTCGACAGTGAGAGTGGTGGGACAGACAGAGAGAAACTGGTCCCTAACGACACGAAGGGACTCAGGGAGACGGGTGACGAGAAAGTAGAGAGTGATGTACATGGGAGGAGGGTTCGCAGCGCGGAACTCAGCAGGAAGGGCAGCGCGGTAGCGGGTGTCACTAGCACGGAGGTGGGTAACGAGGTCAGCGACAGTGGGAAAGGAAGCGAGGTCAGGGAAGAGAAACAATAGCATGAGGCGGCTAAGGGTAGCGGAGGAAGGGGAGGAGTAGCGTGAAACTACAGCGTCGTACAAGGCCTGAGCGGTCTTGCACTGACTAAAGTGGGCACGCTCAGAGGAAGGGAGGTGGCGACGCACAGCAAGACGTGCAGCAGCATCGCGGGTCGCCCACTTGGAGCGAACGGCAGAGTCAGCATCAGCAGGTGGGGCAGGGACAGCGCCAGAGACAAAGTCAAAGAGAGAGACCTCATCTATCGCATCACACAGTAAGTACAGCTGCAGGTCTTCAATCCAGACGGCAAAGTCAATGGCCCTCCCCTCAGCGTCAAAGGTAAGAACATTGGGGGTGGCCATGACAGCAGCTGAAAATCTCACCGGGCTGGGAGAGGCGGGTAGGTCAGCAGCAGAGGAACAGCAGCACGGCTCCGCAGGCGGCTCGGGCGGCGCGGGCGGCTCGGGCGGCACGGGCGGCTCGGCGGCGGCTCGGGCGGCGGCTCGGTGGCGGCTCGGCGGCGACTCGGCGGCGGCTCGGCGGCGGCTCAGGCGGCGGCGGCTCGGCGGCGGCTCGGCTGCTGCTGGGCGGCGCGGGCGGCTCGGGCGTCACGGGCGGCTCGGCGGCGGCTCGGGCGGCACGGGCGGCTCGGCGGCGGCTCGGGCGGCGGCTCGGCGGCGGCTCGGCGGCAGCTCGGCGGCGGCTCGGCGGCGGCTCGGCGGCGGCTCGGCGGTGGCTCAGGCGGCGGCGGCTGCTGCTGGGCGGATCGGCGGGGCCGCGTAGCAGAGTGGCGGCGGGGCCGCGACCGAAGAGAGCGGCGGGGCCGCGTAGCAGAGGGCGGCGGGGCCGCGTAGCAGAGGGCGGCGGGGCCGCGTAGCAGAGGGCGGCGGGGCCGCTACCGAAGAGAGCGGCGGGGCCGCGTAGCAGGGGGCGGCGGGGCCGCGTAGCAGAGGGCGGCGGGGCCGCGTAGCAGAGGGCGGCGCGGCCGCGATCGAAGGGCGGCGGGGCCGCGTAGCAGAGAGCAGCGGGGCCGCGTAGCAGAGAGCAGCGGGGCCGCGTAGCAGAGGGCGGCGGGGCCGCGTGACAAAGGGCGGCGGGGCCGCGATCGAAGGGCGGCGGGGCCGCGTAGCAGAGGGCGGCGGGGCCGCGTAGCAGAGGGCGGCGGGGCCGCGTAGCAGAGGGCGGCGGGGCCGCGAGGCAGAGGGCGGCGGGGCCGCGTAGCCGAGGGCGGCGGGGCCGCGATCGAAGGGCGGCGAGGCCGCTAGGGAAGGGCGGCGGAGCCGCGAGGGGAAGGGCGGCGCAACGGTCCGCTAGGGGCGACACGACGGGTCGCTAAAAAAAAAAAAACGCGCCTCGGGGCGCGGTTCGGTGGGCCCTAGAAGCAGTCCCTAGGAGGGAACCTGCTCTGATTCCATGTGGAAACAAAGAACGAGAATGGAATGACTATGAACGAAGTGAGTACAAATAGGAAACCCTAATTGGGTTGTACCCCCTATGGGATACCCCACTATAGCCTACAGAAACAAGTAAGCTATATGTTCTGACAATTTTTTAAGACATGGCTGCTGCAACATCCGTTAAGGCGCCCGAGGCGCCTGCCTGTCCTGTCTCGTCGTCGCCCTGCTTTTCTACCCGATCTGCACTGCGCGCAGCCCGATTTTCCCCTGCGCGCAACCCGTTTTCCCTTGCGCCCAGCTCGTTCTGCCCCGTGCGCAGCCCGTCCCGTCGATGCGCGACCCGTTTTGACCGCGCGCAGCCCGTCCAGCGCCTCGCCAGGCCCCTGCGCGGACGCCAGCGACGAGCGCCAGCGCCACGGCCAGCCGCGAGCGCCAGCGCGGACCGCCGGCGCCAGCACCTGCGCCCAGTGCCAGCGCCAACGTCTGCGCCAGCGCCAGGCGCCAGCGCTCGCGCCAGCAGCAGCTACCGCCGCCCCCCCCACCCGCCCTCCCTTCCGCGACTTCTGTCGTGGGGAGGGGGGGAGGGGGAGACGTGGGGTGGCGAGTGTGAACCACCAGTAGGCCGTCCCTCCCTTCCCTCTTCCTCTCTCCCTGCAGCACTTGGTGCTGTGGGGGGGGGGGGGGGGGGGGAAGAGCGGTTCAGGGGGGATGAGAGAGGTTAATGGAGGGTAAGAGAGATCGGCGGAAACAACAGCCATGCATCTGTAGCTGCCGCCCGCTGCTACCGTGGCACCTACAGCTACAGCCCTTGAAGCCACTCTCTCTTCGTTCGTCTTTCTTTGCTGTTGAGCTGCAGACGTTGCCGTTGAGCCCTGCGTTGCCGCCACCCTTTCTAACCCCACGCACCTGCTCTCCAGGCTATCTGCGCCACATGCACCTTCTCTTTGTTTCTTTCTTGCCTCAGGGCTTACTGCAGCTGTCTCTGCCACTACTGCACTGGTTGTCATTGCTCTTGCGTGCTATTGCTTTGAGTACACCTGCAGGTTGTGTTCTGCACTTTGCTATTCTTGCATGCAGTTAAGGGGGGATGTCAGAATTATGTTGTTATAACTGCTTGTAGTTCTAGCGTTAGTGTAGTTATCGTGATATCCTGTTTGGTGGTGTACCCCCTTTCCTACCCTATATGTTGTGACCCTCTCCATAGTGAAACTCTCTTCTCTCTCGTCATTCTCCTTCTACCCTAGGCTCCTAAGCCTAGTGATTCAAACAGTTGACTCATTTGAAATTCGAAATTCGTTACCGTTTTCATTAGAATTGTAAAATAAAATAATGCATGCGCTTATAATAAAACAGGGTTTTACAGGGGGGGCGCTGATAATCGAATTCCGGCCATAAGCGCCATGCTCCAGATAGAAGCGCCGGCGCTGGCGCCTCTAATCGAACGGCGCCTATATCCAGGGCCATAGGGTATGACCATTTTCAATTGCATTTTTGTATAATCCGCACATCTTTAGGATGTGGGGGGGTCTTATAATGCTAGGAGCCATTTAGGGGATATAACTCAGATGTACTCAAATAGAGTACCCGGGTCCGTATTATAGACCCGGGGGTCTACAACTGGGGGGGGTCCTATATACGGGGGATCACGGCAAGTGTTCAGGGCTCAAACTGGTTGGTTGACAGAGTTGAATTTAAAGATATTCATGCGCCTACAAAGGGGTTTGATCCCGGGACCTCATCTATCGGAAGTGCATATCTACTGACTAGGCCACTTCTAAATAGTAGTGGTCTTGAAAATGTCAGACTTATATGATATAGCCTCTGTAGGTTGTAGCGGGTTAGACACTGACGGGTACACAATCCTAGGCTTTCATATTTGTATCACACTCATTCCTTAGTCATTCATTTTTGTTCACTTCAGCATGGTATCAGAGTAGGTTCCCTCATGGGAACTGTTCCTAGGGCCCACCATCCTTTTTTTCCTGCCCGAAGCGCCCTCAGCCTATGCCCGAGTCGCGCTCCCCGTCGCGCCGCCCTTCTGGCCCCGTCGCGCCGCCCTTACGGCCCCGTAGCACTGCCTTCGCGGCCCCGTCGCGTCGCGCTGCCCTAGCGGCCCCGTCGCGCTGCCCTAGCAACCCCGTCGCGCCGCCTCTAAGGCCCCGTCGCGTCGCGCCGCCCTCGCGGCCCCGTCGCGCCGCCCTCGCGGCCCTGTCGCGTCGCGCCGCCCTCGCGGCCCCGTCGCGCTGCCCTCGCGGCCCCCTTCTCGCCGCCCTCGCGGCCTCTTCAAGCCGCCCTCGTGGCCCCTTCGTGCCGCCCTTACCGGCCCTGGCGCCGCTCCTGCTGGCCCCTTCGCCCTACCCTCGCGACCTCGCGGCCCCACCCTCCCTGCAGCAACGGCCGCCGCCGTCCCTGCAGCAGCGGCCGCCGCCGTCCCTGCAGCAGCGTCCGCCATCGTTCCTGCAGCAGCGGCCGCCGCCTCCCTGCAGCAGCAGCCGCCACCGTCGTTCCTGCACCAGCGGCCGCCGCCGTCCCTGCAGCAGCAGCCGCCGTCGTACCTGCAGCTGCCAAGCCGCCCGAGCCGCCGAGCCGCCCAAGCCGCCGAGCCGCCCGAGCCGCCGTTGCCGCCGAGCCGCCGATTCGCCGAGCCGCCCGAGCCGCCCGAGCCGCCGAGTCGCCGAGCCGCCCGAGCCGCCGAGCTGCCGTTGTTGCCGAGCCGCAGAGCCACCGAGCCGCTCGTGCCGCCCGGTCCGCTACACCAGGTCCCTGCAGTTGCGGCCCTGTTCCTACCGGCGGGCCTCGGTCCTTCTCGCCAGCCCGGTAAGAGCAGCCCCTCTACCACTGCACTGCCCCTAGTCTACTGCTGTCATGGCTACCCCCCGTGTCCTCGCTTTTGACGCTGAGGGTCGGGCCATTGACTTTGACGTCTGGGTAGATGACCTGCAGCTTTTCCTACAGTGCGATAGGGCAGACGGTCTCTCCCTCTTTAACCTCACTTCTGGTGCCTCTCTTGCCCCTGCTACTGATGCTGACGCCACTATTCGCTCACAGTGGGCCACACGCGATGCTGCTGCCCGTCTTGCTGTGCGCCGCCACTTGCCTACCGCGGATCGTGCACACTTTAGTCAGTACAAGAGTGCTAACACCTTGTACGACGCTGTAGTTGCACGCTACTCCTCCCCTGCCACTGCTGCACTTAGCCGCCTCATCCTGCCGTACCTCTTCCCTGACCTCGCCGCTTTTCCCACAGTCGCTGATCTCATTACGCACCTTCGCACTAGTGACATTCGTTACCACGCTGCCCTTCCTGCTGAGTTCTGCACCAAGAACTCCCCCCCTATGTACATCACCCTCTACTACATAGTCACCCGCCTTCCTGACATTCTTCGCCCGGTCAAGGACCACATTCTCTCTGTTTGCCCCACCACCCTCAATGTTGACCTCCTCGAGGAGCGCCTCCTAGCAGCGGATAAGAGCATAGTCGCTGTAGGAGCCTCTCGTGGTGACCCTCGTGCCCCTGTCTTTGAGGGGTGCTCCCCCTCTCCCTTCTTGCCCTCTGTTGCCTCTGCTGCTACGGCCAATCTCGTTGGTCTTGAGTCGGTCGGTGCGGCGTCTGTCCCTCGCGGGAGACGCCGCACTTGCAAGGGCAAGGGGGGCAAGGGCGCTGGAGGAGCTAGCGGGGGCGGTGGGGGCGGCGGTGGAGGCGGTGGAGGGGGTGGGGGTGGCGGTGGGGGTGGTGGCGGGGGTGGGGGCGTTAGTGGCGGCAGTGGAGGCGGAGGCGGCGGCGGCGGTGGCGGTGGGAGCGGAGGTGGCGGAGGTGGTGGAGGCAGCGGCGGAGGAGGTGGAGCTGGTCGGGGTGGCGCTGCGCAGAGGGTCGGCTCAAGTGGTGGTCAGCGCCAGCAGCAGCAGCAGCAACGCACTCGTGAGATCCCTCCCCCTCAGCAGCTTCCTGAGTGGTACGCTGCACGTCAGCGGGGTGGGGGTACTGGTCTGTGCACCTACGTCCTGCGCACCGGCGACCGCGCGGATGAGCCGTGCGGGGGTGCGCACTCCACCCAGCGCTGCTTTGGCCGCCTGACGGACGCTTGGCGCCACCAGTTCCCTGAGGCCACTGAGATCCCTCGCTAGGGCGAGCTGTCTAAGGCCGGGGTTCCTATCTTTGATCTTGATTATGATGCTCTCCATGCTGCCATGTATGGTGTGACTATTAGTGATGAGGGTGACTGTTACCAGTGTTTTCCGCCCAACCCGGGCATTGGGACTACTGCTATAGGTACTGGTGAGGCTGCTGCTCTAGGTGCTCGTGAGGCTGCTTCTCTAGGTGCCAGTGAGTCTGCTTCCTCAGGTGCTGGTGAGTCTGCTCTCTCAGGTACCGCGTCAGCTCCGGCCTCCCACACCTTCAGCCTTGACTCGGGGGCTTCCTGCTCCTTCTTTCGAGACCGCACCACACTCACGCCGCTTGGTCGGCCAGTTGCAGTCTCTTTGGCAGACCCCTCTGGGGGTCCTGTCCTTTCCCACTTCTCCACTGTCCTACCGTGTCCGGCGGCCCCCTCTGGCACCCTGTCTGGTCTTTACCTCCCCTCGTTCTCTATGAACTTGGTGAGTGTGCTGACCTACAGGATGCGGGGGTTCACCAGTTCACTCCTGCGAGCCAGCAAGTGACCCACTGCACGTGTGCTCGGACGGGCCGACACTTGGCCACGTTTACCCGTCGGCCGGGGTCGAGCCTGTACACACTGACCACTGAGTCTCCTCCGGTCCCTGCGTGTGGTCAGATAGCTCCGTTGGGTCAGGTGTTCGCTGCAGCGTCTAGGTCTGGTCCTGAGTCTGCCCCCTGCTCGTGTCGTATCCTGGCCCACTAGACTCTCCTCTGGCACCACCGCCTTGGTCACCCCTCCCTGCCTCGTCTCTGAGGCATGGCCTCACGTGTCCTGGTCTCTGGTCTCCCCCGGTACCTCCCTCCCCTTCCTCCGGGGCATGCCCCTACCTGTGTCCCCTGCGTCGAGGGGCGGCAGCGTGCTGCTCCTCACTCCTCCCACTTTGCACTCCGACAGAGGCGCAGAGTTCTCCTCTGGCCTTCTGCAAGCCTACTCTCGTGCATGAGGCATCCGGAAGACCTTCACGCTTCCGGACTTCCTACAGAAAAATGGGATTGCTGAGCGCCGCATTGGCATGGTCATGGACGTCGCCCATACGTCCATGATGCATGCGGCTGCCCCCCATTTTCTGTGGCCGTTAGCGGTTCGGTACGCCGCGCATCACATCAACCTTCACCCCAGGGTCTCCATGCCGGAGACCTCCCCAGCTTTGCTGTGGACGGGGAAGGTTGGCGATGCATCTGCGTTCCGTGTCTGGGGATCTCGGGCATTTGTCCGCAACTTGTCTGCGGACAAGCTATCCCCTCGTGCTGCTCCCTGCGTCTTCCTTGGCTTCCCCCCTGACGCGCCAGGGTGGCAGTTCTACCACCCCACCTCTCGCCGTGTTCTGTCCTCCCAGGACGTCGGGTTTGACGAGTCGGTTCCCTACTACCGTCTCTTCCCCTACCGCACTCCGTCCCTCCCCCTGCCACCGCTCTTCCTTGTGCCAGGTCCCCCCCCGGTAGACCCCCTCCCCCCTCAGGGTCCTGCCCCCTCTGGTGTGTCCCGGGTAGACGCAGTCGAGCCTGTTGAGGTAGCTGTTGACCTTGGTGCTGCTGGGGGTGCTGAGCCTGGGGGTGCTGACTCTTGGGGTGCTGAGCCTGGGGGTGGTGCGACTGGGGATGCTGAGCCTGGGGGTGCTACGACTGGGGGTGCTGAGCCTGGGGGTGCTACGCCTGGGGGTGCTGGGCCTTGAGGTGCTATGACTGAGGGTGCTGAGCCTGGGGGTGCGGAGCCTGAAGGTGCTGAGCCTACTCGTGTGACGTCTAGGGGTGCTGGGTCTAGAGGTTCTGTGGGTGCTTCGCCTCGGCGGGAGCTCCTCTCTCCACATGAGGTGCGTGAGTGGTTTGCCCGGCGCTGGAGGCGTGCTGCTGGATCTAGAGGTTCTACTGCTGCTGAGGGTGCTGGTACCACGGGTCCCGGAGGTGCTCGTACTGGGAGTACTGGAGCTCCTGGGCCTGCGGGTACTACTGGAGCTGGAGCTATTGCGTCTTCTCGTGGTCCGACTGAAGCTAGAGCTGCTGAGGGTGTTGGCGCTGAGGGTACTGCTGGCGTTACTGGAGGTGATCCTGCTGGGGGTGCTACTGGTGCTGCAAGGGGTCCTGGAGCTTGTGCAGCTGCTGGGGGTGCTGGAGCTGGAGGTGCTACTGGAGCTGGTGCTACCAATGGGGGTACTGGTACTGGAGTCGCTACGCGGCCTCGGCCGTACTTCGTTCCGCTCCTTGAGCAGGTTCTTGGTCCCCCGCCTTCTACTGGTCCTGCTCCTTCCTTAGAGTGTCCACCGCCTGTCCAGTCCGAGTCACAGTTACAGCTGGCCTCCCCACTGCCTGCTCCTTCTCCCTACACTGGTCCTACTAGAGGTCTTGTTGAGCGTCGTGAGCCTGCGTCTCGTCTTGCGTCGCCTGTCCGTGCTGCTCGCGCTAGTGGTCGTGGTTCGCGTCAACGTCCTCCCCCTGTCCCCGACACGCACCGGATGTCTCTACGTCCGTCCACTGCTCCTCTGCGTGCCCCTTTTCCTTCTCCTCCTAAGTCTTCTCTTCCTGCAATTGCTAACCCGGAGTCGGACTCTCTTCGTGCTGCCAGTCCTACTGTCACGCGTCTTCTTGCTACTGTCGTCACTGACCCTTCCTTTGAGTCCGCTACTGCGTCTGCCTTGGTCACAGAGCTCGTTGACTTTGCTGCTCGCTGTCGTCTCGACTACGCTGCTAGTCTTGTTGCTGAGTCTGAGTCTGTCTGTCCTCTATCCGTCGGGGGTGAGTGTGCCCTTGGCAAGGACGTCCTTGAGGACAGGCAGGAGGAGTTCCAGTGCTTGGCTGCTGCTTCACCTCATCTCGTGTCCGTGCTGCTTACCCCTGAGGTAGACCCGGATGCACTTGACATCCCGACTCCGCGCTCTTACGCGGAGGCGATAGAGTGTCCCTGATCCTCTTAGTGGCAGGTAGCCATGGAGGCGGAGATGGCTTCCTGGAAATCCACAGGCACCTACGTTGACGAGGTTCCCCCGCCTGGGGCGAACATCATCAGTGGCATGTGGATTTTAAGGGTGAAGCGGCCGCCGGGTTCTCCACCTGTCTTCAAGGCGCGTTTCGTGGCTCGTGGCTTCAGTCAGTGGCAGGGAGTTGGCAACTTTCAGACCTTCTCTCCCATCTTGAAGATGACCACTCTTCGGGTACTACTGCACATAGCCACTCAGCGCGACTACGAGCTTCACTCTCTTGACTTCAGCACTGCTTTCTTGCACGGCAGCCTGCACGAGGAGATCTGGCTGCGCCGCGCTCCTGGCTTCTCGAGGTCGTTTCCTCCTGGCACCCAGTGGAGCCTCCGGCGGCCAGTCTACGGTCTCTGCCAGGCAACTCGTGAGTGGTACGACACACTGAGGACTACACTTGCGGCTCTTGGGTTTGCTACGTCTGCTGCCGACCCGTCATTGTTTCTACGCACCGACACCTCTTTGCCGCCGTTCTACATCCTCGTGTACGTCGACGGCTTGGTCTTTGCCACAGCTGACACTGCTGGACTCGCCCACGTGAAGTCCGAGCTGCAGAAGAGACATACGTGCACAGACCTGGGTGAACTGCACAGCTACCTTGGCTTGCAGATCACCCGGGACAGAGTACAGCGCACCATTACCCTGACTCAGTCACACATGGTGCAGCAGGTCCTTCAGCGTTTCGACTTCACGTACTCCTCGCCTCAGGCCACTCCTCTATCTACTCGCCACTCGCTCTCTGCTCTGCCTTCGGATGAGTCCTTAGAGTCGAGTGGCCCGTACCCAGAGCTTGTTGGCTGCCTCATGTACCTGATGACCTGCACACGTCCTGACCTTGCATACCCTCTTAGCATTCTGGCACGCTATGTTGCTCCTGGGAGACACAGACCGGAGTACATGGCTGCTGCAAAGAGGGTGTTGCGCTACTTGTGCAGTACATCGGGCATGGAGCTTGTGCTTGGAGGGCGGAGTCGAGTGGTCCTCACTGGTCACGCAGACGCTTCTTGGGCTGACGACCAGGCTACGCAGCGGTCGTCACAAGGCTACTCGCTCGTCTTCTGTTCTCGGCTCTAGTTGTGAGGCTGAGATCTACGCTGGGGCCATGGCTGCACAGGAGCTTCGCTGGCTCACCTACCTGCTGACTGACCTCGGAGAGCCGCCTTGTTCTCCTCCAGTGCTGTACGTAGAGAACAAGGCTATGCTGGCCTTGTGTTGAGAGCAGAGACTGGAGCACAGAACGAAGCACATCGCTCTTCGTTACTTCCTTGCTCGTGAGCTGCAGCAGCGTGGTCAGCTGCGCCTTGCTTACGTGGCCTCTCAGGCCAACACTGCTGATATCTTCACCAAGGCACTTGCGCCTTGTGATTATCAGCGCTTTTGTACTCAGTTGGGTCTTGTGCCTACCTTGCCTCACTTCTTGACGTTTCTTGTACTGCTACATATATATATTCCTGCTCTTGCTTATTTAGCCATATATATATGTAATCTTGCATGTGAACTGGCCTTGTGGCCTTGAACTTGTGCTCGGAATGTGTGGTGACGTTGTGACCCACCCTGAGCTAGCTTTGCTTTGCTTTGCTTGACTGGTCTTGTGAACCCTTGCTCTCCCCCACTTAGCCTATGGGGGTGTGTCAAACTTATATGATCTAGCCTGTGTAGGCTGAAGCGGGTTAGACACTAAGGGGTACACGATCCTAGGGTTTCATATTTGTATCACACTCATTCCTCAGTCATTCGTTCTTGTTCACTTCAACAGAATAAGTGTGTTACGACAACTTACGGAGACAAAAAGCGCGCCAGGGCAGGCCTCGGCATTCATCCTGACGCTACAGGGAAGAACACTACGATCATTCGGAATGTTCAGGGCGTTTCATATAAAAACATCCTGAGATCTCAGGGTTAAAATTTACACTATTCTGAAATGATAGGGTAAATTCAAAACTGCATCCTGAATTCAGGGTAATCAGGATGTTTTGCCCTGATAACGTGGGGCCTGGCCGTCGTAACTTCACAAGAAATCCCATATGCAAGCGCACACACAAGCAAAATCCAGCGCGCACTGGCAAAAACTCGCAAAATCCTGCGCAAACACTGGCATGATCAAGCAAAATCCATGGCACACATACGTGAAATCAGGCGAAGAAGATATAAATAAAGAAATTAATGATGTACGAAAAGAGAAAGGGCGACGGGACGGTTGATTGGTCGACGGCGAAGAGAAGGGACTGGGGACAAGGGGGCTGACGGGAGAGGAGGGGAGAGAGGGGGAACAACGGGATGGGAGGGGAGAAGGGAAGAACGACGGGATAGGAAGGAAGAGAGGATGAACGACGGGATGGGAGGGGAGAGAGGAAGAAAGACGGGATGGGAGGGTAGAGCGGAGGAACGACCGGATGGGAGGGTAGAGAGGAACGACGGGATGGAAGGGGTGAGAGGAACGATGGGATGGAAGGGGAGAGAGGAACGACGGGATGCGGGGAGGGAAGACAGATTGTGAGGGAGGGAGGAAGGGCGCGGTGAGGGCATTGCATAGCAAGAGCGAAGGGCAGATTGGCCGACGATGGAGAGCGTTTCAGAGATTAATGATTGGGGAGAAGAGACGAAAGGCGATGGGAAGGCATTTCGGGACGAGCACGAGGGCGACGAGGTCGGTGATGGGAAGGGAGAGAGGAAGGGCGCGGGGAGAGCGTTTGAGTGCGAGCGCGAAGGCGACCAGGCAGGCGATGGGAGGAGAAAGTGGGCGGGGGACGAGAAGGCGTTTCGTGGCGAGCGGGAAGGCGATGGAGTGGGTGATGGTGGGTGGGAGAGGAATTTGCGACGGCTGCATCTAAGGCTACGAGATGGGAGGGGAGAGAGCAAGAGCGACGGGAAGGGAGGGGAGAGAGATAGAGCGATGGGATGGGAGGGGAGAGATAGAGCGACGGGAAGGGAGGGGAGAGAAATAGAGCGACGGAGAAGGCGATTGCAACGGAAAGGGAGCGGCGAGAGAGAGAGCGACGGGAAGGGAGGGGAGAAGGCGATTTGTTCAGGAAAGGGAGCGGCGAGAGAGAGAGCAACGCGCAGGGAGCAGCGAGAGAGAGAGCGCGACGGGAAGGGAGGGGAGAGAGATAGAGCGACGGGAAGGGAGGGGAGAGAGATAGAGCGACGGGAAGGGATGGGAGAAGGCGATTGCAACGGAAAGGGAGCGGCGAGAGAGAGCCGATGAGAAGGGAGAGGAGAAGGCGATTGGTTGCAACGGGAAGGGAGCGGCGAGAGAGAGATTTGCGACGGGAAAATCGCGAGGGTGATTGGAGGAGAGGGGTAATGGAGATGACGGTAGGAGGGCGACAGGACGTCGACGGGACGGACGACATGATCGCGACGCGACGGTCGATGGGGCGGCGTCAGGATGGTCGATGGGACGGCGTCAGGACGGTCGATCGGAACGGGAGGGCGAGCGAGATGAGATAGGAAGGCGGCGAAAGGGCGTTCGAAACGGCAGAAAGTACTACACAACCATGCCAGCTTCACTACGCGTCTAAATTGAAACAACAACGGCCTAAGTTGACGGTTCGATGGCTAGACATGCTGCACATAACTAAGAAGCTGAGATGTATGATCGGAAGAACTAGTAGTTGTTCACCCAGACCCAACTTGAACCAGGCCCCGTGCTAGGATTTGGGGCACCCTGAGGCCTCAGGGCACTTTTCCAGAATCGTAAAAAATGCCCTGATTTGTCGGGGCAAATTTTCGAAGCCTTCCTGTATGTTCAGGGCTTTTTCAGAAATCAATCCTGACCTGTCAGGGCAAAAAAACGAGAGTTCAAGGTTCAAACTGGGTGGTTGACAAGGTAGTAGTTAAAGATTCTCGTGACCCTCAATGGGGCTCGGCCCCGGGACGTCATCTCTCGAAAGTGCTTTTCTACTGACTAGGCCACTTCAATTCTGCTAGATAAGCTACGGAGACATTGAAGACGTCAGGGCAGGCCTCGGCATTCATCCTGACGCTACAAGGAAGAACACTACGATCATTCTGAATGTTCAGGGCATTTCATATAAAAACATCCTGAGACCTCAGGGTTAAAATTTTCACTATTCTGAAATAACAGGGTAAATTCAAAACTGCATCCTGAATTCAGGGCAATCAGGATGTTTTGCCCTGATAACGTGGGGCCTGACTTGAACCCCAAGCTGGGCCCAAAATCGCAAGGACGTGCATGAGCGATCGCAATGCTAGTGTTGTGCAGCTTCCAAAACTGATATGCGACGCCTGACGTGCTGTGTTCCTTCTTCTGGTTTTGGCGGGAACCAATCAGATGTGTTCGATCTGCAAAAAACGCTCTCAATGAAACACTGGAAACTTGTCGATTTGGTTCCAAAATTGTTTCGCACGGCAAGCCCTCTTTCAAGTTGGCGTTGGGTTCACTATGTTACATTTCGGTTGTAAGCTTTCAAGATGTGTCATTTTCTTGCTTACTAGCAACAACACACATTACACTATATGTTTCACTATCGCGCATACACTTCCGAATCCACTCTATTCCACTCTCTCCCCGAGCTCTCCAGTGTACTGCTAGGCATGATCTCCTCAAAGCTCTCAGTGTCTCTCCTACTCGCACCGCCACCCCCTGCAAAGTACTGCACCCACCTCCTCATACTCTCACTCTGCATAACCCTAAGGCTGCCTCCCAGACGCCCACTACCGCTCCTGCCACTCCTACCGCTCCCACCACCACTCCCACTCCTCCCCACCTCCCCTCCCTGCGCATCCCCCTTCCCCCCCAGCGCCTTTGCCCCAGCCGTAATTCCTCTCGATACATGCGCTGCCAGTGCAGCAGCCCCGCCTATCACCCCTGCTCCTCCTGCTCCGCCTGCTGCTCCCCCCACCCCTCCTTGTCTTCCTCCCTGCACACCCGGCCCACCAGCAGCACCACCAGCGGCGGCGAGTGCAGCAGCACCGGCAGCAGCGGCAGAAGCAGCGGCATGGAAGCCTCTCCGGGCGTCCAGCATGACGCGCGCCACCTCAGCCATGTCCGGGCGGCGCGTGGACGGCAGCTGCACGCAGAGGGCGGCGGTGCGCGCCATCTGCAGCAGAAACGGCAGGTTGAGCGGCGAGGCGATGCGCGCGTCCGCTATCACCCGCACCTCCCCACGCTCTATGTATGGCACCGCCTGGTGAGGGGGGAGAAGGGGGGGGGGAGAGGGTGGCACAAATATGTGAGAGGCTAGGAGAGGAGATGCGCGCGTCTGCTATCACCCGCACCTCCCCGCGCTCAATGTATGGCACCGCCTGGTGGGGAGAGGGGGCGGGGAGGGAGGAGAGTAGGAGGATGGCACACCAGGTGAGGCGACAGAGACGCGAGGCGAGTCGAGGTGATGCCTACGTCCGCTATCACTCGCACCTCCCCGCGCTCAATGTATGGCACCGCCTGGTTGTGGGGGGGGAGGGGAGGGGGTAGGTGTTAGGGAGGGTGGCACAATAGGTGACATATAGGCGACACTCGATTAATGTATGGCACCCGCTGGTGGAAGGAAGGAGAGAGAGGGGGGGAAGGGAGTGACGGAAAAGGAGCGGGGTGGAAAAGAGGAGTGAAAGGAAGGAAAACAATCTGCCCTCAGGATCTTGAGAATAGAATGCAAGAATAAAGAAACACGAATTATTCAACAATCTCTTCCTCCCCTCCCCTTATAAGCATATAGCTTTTATTTTTTGTGCTAAAAATAAGTGCGTTACTTAATCTCATGTTTGGTACTTGGCCTCGTCTCAGTTTAAGATGAGAGGAAGAGGAAGGAGAAGCAGAGAGAGGCAGGGATGGCTTAGTATGGTTAGAATACATGGAGGCGAGGTGACACATGGTGAAAGTATGGTGGAGAGAGGGGAGGAGCTGTGATGGAAGATGAGAGGGGTGCCAAGGTGACTCGTGACAAGCCAAGCACGGCGACATCACTTAATAGGCACACAAGCATAGCATTCAGTGCAGGATGGAAGGTTATTCGGTGCCCTGAAGCATTGGGAGCTCAGCTCACCCAGGTGGTGAGGTGGACATGAGAGCTCAACCAGGTGTTGAAGTGGACGTGACAGCTCAACCAGGTGCTGAAGTGGAAATGACAGCTCAACCAGGTGCTGACGTGGACATGACAGCTCAACCAGGTGCTGACGTGGACATGACAGCTCAACCAGGTGTTGACGTGGACATGACAGCTCATCTAGGTGCTGACGTGGACATGACAGCTCAACCAGGTGCTGACGTGGACATGACAGCTCAACCAGGTGTTGACGTGGACATGACAGCTCAACCAGGTGTTGACGTGGACATGACAGCTCAACCAGGTGCTGACGTGGACATGACAGCTCAACCAGGTGCTGATGTGGACATGACAGCTCAACCAGGTGCTGACGTGGACATGAGAGCTCACCCAAGTGGTGATGTGGATGAGACAAGACTCATCCTCCGGGTCCCTGGCCGTGGCCGGCCGCCCTGTCACCATCTCGAGCAACAGCACACCGTAGCTGGTGGGTGGTTCACAAGCAGCGCATGGGGATGTGAAAAACGGAGCACGAGGTGGTGAATACACAGTTTGAGGCGCTGAGAGACACGAAATGAGGGGAGGAACAATCGGGTAGAGTTGAGACATGAGCATGGGAGGAACAATCACGACATGAGCATGGGAGGAAGTAGACAAAGTGTGGTAAGAGGGTATCTTTGGACCCCGAGTACATGGTGTGTGAGAAGGTGTTCACCTCGAGCTGACTTTTGAGTCGACTCAGAAGTGAGAAGGTGTTCACCTCGAGCTGACTTTTGAGTCGACTCAGAAGTGAGGTGGTGTTCACCTCGAGCTGACTTTTGAGTCGACTCAGAAGTGAGAAGGTGTTCACCTCGAGCTGACTAGTGCTAATTCACCAAACACCCACCTGTACACATCGCTCGCCGTGGACACCTTCTCGCACGTCATGTACTCGGGGTCCAGATACCCCCTTGTGCCCGCCACACGCGTGTACGCGCCCTCCCTGGCCGCCCCATCATCCAGCAGCCGCAGCAGCCCGAAGTCAGCTATCTTCACCTGCAAGATGATGGGGATCATTCATGCGACAAGAGGTGGATATGTGCATGAGTGTGAGGGATGCATCCTATGAGGGTGTGTCTGCGTGTGTGTGTGCACCCTTTTCTTCTGCATCATTTATAGTGTGGGGTTGGGAGAGAGATTAAAATATATATATATATATATATATATATATATATATCAAAATTGACTTCTACATAGCTGGTGTGGGGTCAGGAGAGAGTATGTGTGCACGGATATATTTGTTGACGAGAAGAGGCCCCGCCCTCGCTTGGACGAGGCCGACTTCGTGATCGGCCTTGCTTCGTGGTCGACGCCGACTTGTAGGAACAAGTTGGCTTGGTTGGTCAACCTCGGCGGAGCCGACTTTGGCGGTTGACCGACTCGGTGAAGCCGAACTTTTCGAATTCAAAGTCAGTGAATAGCCGAGCCAACTTCATTGTCCGGCGTGCAAGGTGTGCAGCCGGCTGCGCTTCGTGGTCGGTGCCGACTTGGAGAGGCAAGTCGGCTTGGTTGGCCGGCCTCAGCGGTAAGCCGACTTTGTCGAAGCCGACTTTGGTAAGGTTGATTTGAGTAAAGCCGGCTTGACGCTGTCTGACGAAGGTGGTCGTCGACATGAGGTCGATCGATGAGCACCAAAGTCGGTGTCGACGTAGCGGCCTCTTCTTGTCGACCAAGAAACATGGTCTACGGGTTTAGCGGGGTGCGCGCACATCGTCCGTATGTTTTTGGCGAAGTCAACTTGTGTGTAGGTAACACAAAGTCGACGTGGCACATCTGGGAGCAACCATCGACATGTGATCGACCTGGGCAGCTGCGCAATATGCCTGACAGACAACCGTCTACCTGCACCTACTTGGTAGGCACGCACATGTGCGCGCAAGGATACCTGCGGTTGCAACGCTGGCAAGCCACCCTACTGCAGCGTTGGGAAGCCGCCCTGGTGCAGCGCTGGTAGGTCGCCGATTTGCAGTGTTGGCAAGCCGCCTTCGTGCTGTGCTGAAGGTCGACCTGCCTGCTTGCTAGGTTGCGTTGCATCTGAGGTTGTCACATTTGCCTAACCATTGTGTGCTATTATTCTTAATTTGCTAGTGAAACTCTTGCCAGCTTTCTCTGTGAATGCGCAAGTAGAGAGAACACTAGCAAACGCTACGATCACTCGTACCACCCATGCTTTCCCTAGAATCTACAGCTCCTGGTGTAGAGTGACTCTCCGCAATATTCGCATGGATGCATGCGAATGCGCATGTGTGTATGCATGTGTATGCATGTGTATGCGTGTGTGTTCATAGATGTGTATGTAGTACACACATTTGTGTATGAGTGTGAATGGGAACATGAGCCAAAGCATGCTCTTTCATGCAACCGCATGGTTTCTACTTGCCTTGTTGCACATGTTTGTGCGCATGCCTTATAGGGAATGGCATGATTGAAGATTTATACCTGATGTTTGTGGGGATGCTTGAATGACGAGTCAGAATGCTGTGTGTTAAGAATCCAGAACGTGGTTTTGCTAGTGTGGTATCAAATATTTGTATGGTCATCACTTACATTGCGTTGTTCTTATTTTCTCACTCGCGAACACTCGCGAGTAATTCTATTTCCCGTTACTCGCTTTCTAAAACGAGTAAACCGCGAATACTTGATTTCTTGTGAGTATTACTCGACTTCACAAAAGGGGGTAATGTTTCCGAACTAGCCGACTCGTTACTCGCTGAAAACGAGCAACGAAAACGATGCGAGTAATATACTCGCCTCGTTGCTCATGCTGACTGTGCCGTTTTTAGAGGAATTTGAAGAAAGTACCCCAATCTTACATACATGGGCTACATTACAAATGAGGCATAACAAGGGAACTTGATAGTCCACTGTGAGCAGCATGTTGCAGGGCTTGATGTCACGATGGACAAGTTGACATTTGAGTCGACTCAAAAGTCAACTCTAGCAGCAAGTAATCGCCTACTGTAACATGCTACCATGTGATACCCTTCTATCGACTTCCACTTACCTGGTAGTCCTCTGTAAGCAGCACGTTGCAGGGCTTGATGTCGCGGTGCACGATGGGCTTCTCAGCATGGCAGTGCAGGTATCTGAGCCCCTCTGCCAAGCCCAATGCCGCGTCCAATCGCTCCTCAAAAGTCAGCAAGTGCCCTTGGAACTTGGCATACAGATGGTCGCTCAGGGGCCCGTTGCGCACATACTCGTACACCAACACCTGGAGAGGGGGAAGGCACGGGGGGTATAGGGTTTGGGTATACCAGGGACAAATTAGGGAGTCAACAGTCGCACACACACTTGTACACCAGCATCTGGGAGGCAGGTTTCATGTGTGATTATATGAGGGAATCTATTGCAAAAAACTTATGTACCAGCACATGCTGGGGGGTTATAACTTACGGGACTTCTCAGGTAGTCAATGCTATGACGTACACTTGCAAGCGTCCTATGGGCAAGTCAGATGCGCACAAACTCGTACATCAGCAAAACTCCTGCTAGGTTCAACAGCTTGAGGGTTCATGAGCGATTAGTTCAGCTGTGTTTTCTATTCGAATTGAGTGTATATTATTAGAATGGAAAATAGGCAATGAGAAGTCGTCGAAAGTTTTGCATCACATGGTAAGAGATGAAGACGCTAGCTGTTGGGGGTTGAGGGCGACGATTGCTAGGAGATGAGGGTGGTATAAGTAGGCACAGGAAGGCACACCTGCTCGTTGTTCTCGTTGCAGTAGCCGAGGAGGCGCACGAGGTACTTGTGACTCAACTTGGACACCGCCTTCACCTGCCAGGCGTGGTGGCATGGTGACATGGTGGCATGAGGCATGGTGGTAGCCGGGAGAGTACGCTAGGGGTGGAATGGTGGTGACACACCACACCACACCACACCACACCACACCACACCAAACCACACCACACCACACCACACCAAACCACACCACACCACACCACACCAAACCACACCACATCACACTGCACCACACCACATTGCACCATACCAGACCACACTGAACCACACCACATTGCACCACACCACACCACACCACACCACACCACACCACACCACACCACACCAAACCACACCACACCATACCACACCACATCACACTGCAGCACACCACGCTGCACCACACCACACCAAACCACACCACACCACACCACACCACACCACACCACACCACATCACACTGCACCACACCACGCTGCACCATTAGTATCTTCAAACATGGTGGCGACATACACACACCACACCGTACCATACCATTGCACCACAGTGCACCACAATGAGCCACACTGCAACACACCACACCACTCCTCCTCTTCAAACACAGTGGCAACACACACAACACACCGTACCATGCTATCGCACCGCACCACACCGCATCACACCACTGACCTCTTCTTCAAACATGGTGGCGATACTGGACGATCGCTCCACAGCAGCCGCCCGCTTGATAGCCACCTCCATGCCGCCCACCACATGGACACCGCCGCCCACGCAACGCACCCCCCCGTCCGACCCATCGGCACTGCCGGCCACCTTGCCACCCGACCCCGCACCCTTGGCACCAGCAGCAGCTTCAACCAGAGAAATTGTGATCCCACTCGTGCCACTGCCCCCACTCGTGCCGCTTCCCCCACTCATGCCACTGGCCCCACTCATGAAACTGCTTTTGGTTCTGCTGCTGGCCTCGGCTCTCTTCCACACCCGCGAGCTCCACCCGCTGTGCTGCTCCCCGCCGATGACGCCCCAGTAGACGGAGCCGAAGCCGCCCTTCCCCAGAAGGTTGTCGGGGCTCAGCTGGTTGGTCGCCTCCATCACCTCCCTCCACGTGTACCTCCTGAAGCCCTGCTGCAGCTCCCTCTCCCACGCTGCCGGGGAGCGGGAAGGAGGGGGAGGGGGGATGCACAGAGGGTGGGATGGAGTGGCATCACCAGTGCTCAGCTGGTTGGTCGCCTCCATCACCTCCCTCCACGTGTACCTCGTGAAGCCCTGCTGCAGCTCCCTCTCCCACGCTGCCGGGGAGCGGGAAGGAGGGGGAGGGGGGATGCACAGAGGTTGGGATGGAGTGGCATCACCAGTGCTCAGCTGGTTGGTCGCCTCCATCACCTCCCTCCACGTGTACCTCCTGAAGCCCTGCTGCAGCTCCCTCTCCCACGGTACCCAAGGGGGGAAGAGGGGGGGAGGGATGCACAGAGAACGGGATTGATGAGTGGCATCATCAGTACCTCCTGAAGGCCTGCTGCAGCTCTCTCTCCCATGCTGCTTATCGGTGGGAGGGGGCGAGGGAAGGCACAGAGGCGGGATGGAGAATGGCATCATCAGTACTTCCTAAAGCCCTGTTACAGCTCTCTCTCCCACGTTGGGTGGGGAGGAGGGGGGAGAGAGTGCAGGGGAGCAGAGAGAGACAGGGCAGGAAAGGTAGAGGTGGGGAGAGCAAAGATCAAAGGGAAGCAGAGAGGGGGAAGCAGAGAGGGGGAAGCAGAGAGGGGGAAGCAAAAAGTGCATGTAAGCACCCTCATGAGAAGGCATGTAATACACCCATGTGTCACATTTGTGCACACACACCGTTCGTGCACACACTGTTGGTGCACACACACTGTTGGTGCACACACACTGTTGGTGCACACACACTTAAAAGTGTAGAGAAGGCATCTGTATCCGTTGACAGGCCTACTTCTCTCCCTTGCGGCCGCCGGCAGTGTCCCCAGTAGTAGCAGTACCACCACACGTAGAGACGCAGGTGTGTTATTTAGTCGACTCAAAACACGTCTCCAGTAGTAGTAGTACCACACGTAGAGAAGCACGAGCAGCGCTGCCCACAGCAACACCACACTCCCTAGCCAACGCACACCCCCACCGCACTCACCATCGCACCCCACTCGTCCTTCTCCCCACTCACCCTTGCGGCTGCCGGGTCCCCAGTAGTAGTACCAAACGTAGAGCAGAAGGAGCAGCACGACTAGCACAAACACCACACAGCCCACCACCATGCCTGCTATGACTGATGTGGATAGCACTGGTGGACGGACGGTGCAGGGGGGATGGGGATAGAGTGGATGGGTGGGTCGGATTAGAGAGAGATAGGAGATGCCTCGCACACAAGTGTAGAGCAGCGCTGCAAGCAGCAGTGCCATACAGCTCTCACCGCAATGCCTGCAATGTCTGCTGCGGACAGTACTGGTGGGTGGGCGGTGCAGGGGAGGAATGGGTGGGGGTGGATGGATTGGCTTGGCTGGATCAGGGGGAGATAGCAGCGCCACATGTAAAGCAGCACTGCCAGAAGCAGCAGCACACTTCCTTCCCACCACGATACCAGCATGTGAGAATTGAACCATTGACTTGATTAGGAATCATGAGGGTTTACATAGTAGAAGCAAGGGGAGGGGGGGTTGGTTGGGTACCTAGCCAACATTATTGGCCCCCCACCAATAAGATGGGTTGGAGAATTATTGGGGGGTCCCAATAATGTTGGCCAAAGGTGGGCCAACATTATTGGGGGGGCCAATAATCTCCCAACCCAACCTTGGAGGCCAATCATTGGACCACGGTTGGGTTACAGCCCCCATCTAGGGTTAACCCTAGTTGTGCACCCAAACCCTATCTCTATCCTAGGGTTTATAGGATCAATGCAGGATACAGAAGAGTAGTATCATCTAACACAGCAATGTTTGCTGTCGATAGCACTGGTGGGCGTAGGGAACAAGGGAATGGGGAGAGAGTGGATGGGTGCGTTGGATTGGGGGGAGACAAGCGGTGCCATACATAGAGCAGCACTCCAGCAGCGGCACCACACTCCCCAGCAGCGCAGCACCACACTCCCCAGCAGCGCATCACCACACTCCCCAGCAGCGCATCACCACACTCCCCAGCAGCGCAGCACCACACTCCCCAGCAGCGCAGCACCACACTCCCCAGCAGCGCAGCACCACACTCCCCAGCAGCGCATCACCACACTCCCCAGCAGCGCTGCACCACACTCCCCAGCAGCGCATCACCACACTCCCCAGCAGCGCAGCACCACACTCCCCAGCAGCGCTGCACCACACTCCCCAGCAGCGCAGCACCACACTCCCCAGCAGCGCTGCACCACACTCCCCAGCAGCGCAGCACCACACTCCCCAGCAGCGCAGCACCACACTCCCCAGCAGCGCAGCACCACACTCCCCAGCAGCGCTGCACCACACTCCCCAGCAGCGCTGCACCACACTCCCCAGCAGCGCAGCACCACACTCCCCAGCAGCGCAGCACCACACTCCCCAGCAGCGCTGCACCACACTCCCCAGCAGCGCAGCACCACACTCCCCAGCAGCGCTGCACCACACTCCCCAGCAGCGCTGCATGGGTGGAGAAAGACGCGTCCTGCGTCCTGGACGCATGCGTCCAGACGCAGCGTCTTAGACGCAGGACGCTAGAGGAGGGCCTTTAGGACGCATGAAAAGACGCATGCCCGGGCAGGGCAAAAAAAACCCCCAGGCAGCCGAAAAATGATGTTGTAGGGTATGGGAAGGGGGGGGGGGGGGGGGGGGGGGGGGGGAAGGACGATGCACACATTTGAGGCAAAATCGTCCTCTTAAAATTTTCAGGGTTTAGGGTTTACGAAGGAGAATTGTCTTGGTAAACCCTCTAGGGTGTTCTTGATGGTCGAAATGGGTTTGGGGGGGGGTCGACATGACGCGAAATTGACAGTCGCGTCGAAATCGTTAGAGTCAATTTCGCGCTGGGGCAACAATTTTTTTTCCGAAAAAATTTACGGGGTGCGTCCTGCGTCTGGACGCGCATCTTGTGTCTCTGCGTCTGGACGCTGCGTCCAGACGCAGGACGCAGCAGGACGCGTGCGTCTTTCTCCACTCAGCGCTGCACCACACTCCCCAGCAGCGCATCACCACACTCCCCAGCAGTGCGGGAGAATAGCCGAGGATTGGACAGTGAGCAATTTATCCACACCTGAGAGAGCGGCTTTTGGTAAACAGGGTGGCCGTAAGTTTATGGAATCCCAGGGCATGATATGACAGGAGGCATGGAAGCAGATAAACTCGGAAAATAGATGATGGATCAAAGAGAACGTGAAGGGCGGTGGATATTTGAGTTGACTGGAAACATAGAGACAAGAGGTGTGGTGTGGGCATGCAGCTAGATTTTCTGTGTGCCATGCCACCCAAACCGATTGGCCAAAACCGTTGCCACAAGATTGGGCAAACCATTGCTGCAAGCAACGGTTCCTTGGCCGAGCCTAGCGGCTCGCTTGGCTCGACGAGTCATACTCGACTCGACTCGATCCAAGACAGAGGGCCAAAAATAAGGCTCGATCTGGGTGAAACCCGAGTCGAGCCATTCGAGCCGAGTCAAGACTCGTCAATCTGCTCACGTCTAAGTTGCAGGAGTCGGTTATCGGGTGGTTAGAAAGTGAGGGAGGGTTATGGGTGGTCAGAAAGTGAGGGAGGGTTATGGAGTGGTTAGAGAGTGAGGGAGGGTGATGGGGTGGTTAGAAAGTGAGGGAGGGTTATAGGGTGGTTAGAAAGTGAAGGAGGGTGATGGGGTGGTTGGCAGTAAGAGAGGGTTACGAGGTGGTTGGCAGTCGCGGCAGAAGTTGTGGCAGATGAGGGAGCAATAGGGCAGGTCGCTCTGAAGGGTGCCGGGACAGCAGGAGTCCACAGGACGCGTGGGGCAGTGCAGCTTGGTGCTGGTGAGTGTGCTGTGAGAGGGGATCCGGGATAGGGGGGAAAGAGGCAGGGAATGGTGGACGCTTGGTATTGGTGCAGCTTGATGCTGGTGGGTGTGCTGTGAGGTGGGATGGGGGGGAGAGAGGGGGAAAGAGGGGGGGAATGGTGGATGCTCGGTATTGGCGCAGCTTGTGGTGGGTGTGCTGTGAGGGGGGATGGGGGGGAAAGGGGGGGAAAAGGGGGAAAGAGAGGGGAAAGAGGGGGGAATGGTGGATGCTTGGTACTGGCGCAGCTTGGTACTGGTGGGTGTGCTGATGCGCGGGATGGGGGAAGAGGCAGGAAGAAGGGGGGTGAAACGGTGGATTAGGGGGAATCTGGAATCGGTGGAAGCAGGGGGGAGAGCAGGGGGGAGAGCAGGGGGGAGAGCAGGGGGGAGAGCAGGGGGGAGAGAAGGGAGAGGGAAAGGGAAGGGTAGGGGGAGGGCAGGGAGGGCAGGGGGGAGGCAGGGAGAGTGCAAGGGGGAGCGAGTGCATGGTGGGGAGAATTGCAGAGAGCAGAGGGCGTACAGAGTGCCAACAGACTAAATGGTGGAGCAAAGGAGGGAGCGTAGAGTGAGAGCAGGGAGCAGGGCAGTGAGGCGTACAGAGTGCCGAGGGATTGAATGGTGGCCCAGCAGGGCGGCAGCTTTCCCTTCAGGAACGGATTGTGGTCGACAGACCTGGTGAGGGGGGCAGGGGGAAGGCAGGCAGATATGCAGGCAGGGGGAGGGCGGGCAGACAGCCAGCGGATTGTGGTTGAGAGACCAGGTGGGAGCAGCACAATGCAGTGTGGGGAGGGGGGGGAAAGGAGACGAGGGGAGAGAAAAGGAGAGAAGCGAAGAGGGGAGGAGAGAGGGAGGAGGACAGATGCTGCACAAGGGGAGAGGGCGCCGTTAGAAATAGGCTGTCAACACTTTGTGTACTATATTCTATATCTTGTAGATTATTTGTAGGTTGGGTGTAGATTGCGATCCCAACCATATCTGGTTGGGATTCTCTCGTAATCCAGCAAATCTGCCAACTCACCATTGGAGATTTACCTAGGATTCCCACCCCATCCTTTCCCTAGCTTTGCTCAACCCAACCTTGTTTATACTTAAGGCCTAGTGCCTTCTCTACTAATCAATCACTTCAGCTCCATTTCTTTCATGGTATCAGAGCTAGTAAATTCCGCTCATGCGGAATCCGATCCTTGGCGTCGTGATGGTTCTCTTCAGTTCTTCGATAACTCTTACGGTTTTCGGCTCCTACGCCTAGCATTTTCCGACTTCAAGTCTTCGCGCCGTTCAAGAGCGCATTCACATTCCGTCTTTGCGCACTTCAAATTTCAACGGCGATTCCTTCTCTTCCACGCCTTTCATCGTAAGCTTCTGGAACTTTACATTTCCGTCGGAAATTTCTTGTCTTTCCGAATTTCTTAACTTCGAACTGGTTTTCAGCGGCGCAGCAGAACAGGTTTCAGCGGCGCAGCAGAACACGTCAGCGTCGCAGCGGAACATGTTCAGCGGCGCAGCAGAACAGGTAAGCGGCGCAGCGGAACAGGTTCAGCGGTGCAGCATAACAAGTCAGCGGCGCAGCGGAACAGGTTCAGCGGCGCAGCAGAACAGATCAACGGCGCAGCGGAACAGGTTCAGCAGCGCGTCAGAACAGGTCAGCGGCGCAGCGGAACAGGTTCAGCAGCGCAGCAGAACAGGTCAGCGGCGCAGAGGAACAGGTCCAGCGGCGCAGCGGAACAGGTCCAGCGGCGGAGCAGAGAAGCGGTTTTGGGGCAGCGGCGAAGCAGAACAGGGGGCATCGGCGAAGCAGAGCAGCAGACCAGAATCAGGGCTTTTGTGTTACCGAAACTGCGTTCGGACTTCCTTCATTTAAAGAATTCTCCGCTTCGCTCCGCTACGTATCTGAGACTTTAGCGCTGCGCTCCGCGCGAAATGGTGACTTCAACCTCCACCCTCGTCGAAAATCTCATCGTTCTCAATCTCGCTCCGAACGGCACGAGCACCAACTTCGGGGAATGGTGCTATAGACTGGAGAAGCACCTCCTTAGCATGGAGTTAAAGGGGATTTGCCTCAAGGACATCCACCTCAACCGCGGCAAGGGGAAGATGCCTCCCCCTCCCGATCCTATCGGCGAAAGAGCAACTGCCGCAGACAAGACCGCATTTCAAGCTAACACTACCAAGTATGAGACCGACTTCAGTGTGAGCAGGCGGATGCGGCAGTTATCAGGGATTTAAACACCACCACTCTGGTTGAACTCAGGGTCAAATCCTACCGCATTTTCCGCTCCGCGCATGACATTTGGATGTACCTCCAGGATCGTTTCCATGACAAGACTGCGTAGGCGTTGCCATCCTCATCCCCCGCATGTTCCAGGTCCGCCTCAAGGAATGTTCGGGCATGGCGGACTACATTTCTGAAATCCGCAACACCCATGACGAACTCAAAGACATTGGGATCACCTTCTCTGAACAGGCACCTGCAGCTGGGCTACTTGTAGGACTCACTCCGGCCTACAATATTACCAGTTCTATGCTCAAGCAGCTCCCCACCAAGGAACTCACTTTCGAGAAAGTCGCATCGGCCTTTCTCTCTGCTGAAAAGGACCTTGCGGCACAAGCATCCGTCAATGCGGTGCGTTACACTCCTAGAATCCCATTCCGCTCCCAGCAGGGACCGAGGCGCAACTCGTTTCCCCCATGCACCTACATCATTAGGAAGGGTCCACGTGCAGGGCAGAATGTGGAGGCACCAACCACCCAAAGGCAACTTGCTTCAAGAAGCGAGATGACGAGTGGTACGACGTCCACGGTGTCTCCACCAACAAGCGTCCTCCCAACTGGGCCTGACCCCGTCGCTTGACCAGGTCGAGGCAGTGGAGGAACCTGTTCAGGCACTTGCTAGCGCCCCATCTGATGTTCGCCTCAATCTGTTCTTCTCTGGTGCTGGTGTTATTAATGAGAAGGGGTCGCAGTACATTGGTGTTTCAAACACGCAGAGGATCGAGTTCATACTAGACAATGGTGCCACCCACACAGTGCTCAAAGACCAAACCGCATTCGGTCCCTACCAGGCTCCCACCCCACTCCTTGGAGCAGATTCTAGCTTCTCCATCCAATGCCATGGGTCCTCCACAGTTCCTTGTCCAGCCTTCCCATCCGGCACAGTCACTGACATCTCTGCCCCCTAAGTTGCAATATACGCTTATAGCGTATATACGCTTATCGTATATACGCTAGCGTATGCACGCCATCCGCTTGGGGGTCGACTTTGGAATACGCTTTTCCGGGCAGGGAAAAAACTTTCCCGGGCAGGGCAAAAAAAACCACTTGGGGATGTTTGGGGGGGGGGGAGGGGTGGGCCATTTTGGGGGTTTTGCAGCACAGTTTTTTTTTTCCCCATAATAAGATTACGACACCATACACACACACATGTCACTAATACTCTCCTGCCACCCTAGTTCTAAGCGTACTCGTCCTCCAGGACGTCATCCTCGCCTTCCTCCTCCTCCACCTCCGTCTCATCCAACCCGTTGTACCCCTCGGGGATAGGAGGCTCGTCCCCAATCCCTGGCACAACGTTCGGCATTACATCTGCGCGCGAATGCCAGTTGCGCACAACATTCCAGTTGTGCGCAACAAAAACCAGGTCCTGGCACTTTTTAGATCCGAGGCGGTTCTGGCAGGCTGTGTGGACTGCATCACAAGTTCCCCACCCACACTCACAAGGGGATGCCGATACAGGCTGAGATAGCACCCTCACGGTGAAGTGCATCAGGTGAGGTGCATCTGTGCCGTTCCACTGCCACCACTTCACCATGCTGTACTTACCCGCCTTCACCTTCTCCCTCTGTGCAAGCGCCTCCGGCATCCCAAAACTGCCTTTCAGGTCCAAGAAAGCCCTCAGCCCGTGACCCAAGGCAAGCAAGTAATCTGGACCCTCATCCCTCCCCTTCCCGTCGTGGCCGATGAGGAACTCCACGTGCTCGTTGATTAACGCCTTGAAAACCCGGGTGCATTCGGCGTCGCTGCCAAAGATATCCTCCTCCTGGTTGGCGGGGTTGAGGATTCGGCTAGCAACGTGCATGGCGCAGGCGAGGTTGTTATCCTTGCGGTTCTTGATGATGCTGCGGATCTTTTCCTTGTCCGTGCTACTCAGCTGCTGCTCATCCTCGTCCAAGATGTTGTTGACATCCTCAGTAAGCTGCAGCATTACATCATAGAGCCGGCCCATCATCCCATTGGCATCTCCGTCAGTCAGCCGCATCGCCTTGTAGGGCAGTTGCATCAGCTTGCAGAAGACTTCTGCCGTCCGCCACCATGCGTCATCGAGGACCCGTGCAGCAAAGGCCACCTATCCGCCACCTGTCGGAAAGCACCATCGCGTTGAGGGTGCTACGCAATTGACAAAGGCGGGACACAGCAATGTACTGTGTCCCGAACCGTGTTCCAGCCGGCTTCAGCGGCTGCCGCACCTTCCCCTCCACCAACTCCTTGGTCCTCAGGTAAGCGCGCATCCAATGATGGTTGCGAACAAACGAACTCATCTCCCCAGTCCTATCCACCACCCTTTTTGCCCACCCCATCTTTCCCACGTCCTCCAGGAGGAGATCCATCACATGCGTGGCACAAGGGACCTGCTGAATGTGGGGCCACTTGGCAATCAGCTCCTGGACAGCCACGGCATAGTTCGACCCCCCATCCATACAAAACGCGACGACATTTTCTGGTCCTACCTCCTCCACCACCGGCTGCAGAATCCCCGCTATGTATCCCCCCGTCTTCCGCTCCATCCCGCAGTCGATCGCCTCCCTGAAGACGGCGCCGGAGTCGTTATCCCTTTGCGGACAGCGACCAGTCCATCCCCGCCAATGAAAGTCCTCCTGGGGGGGACGTAGCCGTGGCCGGCGCGGTTGACGAGCAGCATGGCGTTGATCAACAGCGGGGTCCATGGTGACCTCCGGGATTCTGCAGGCCGCAAACATCAGCGCAAGGCCCTCGTGAGCATCCCGCGTAGCCGCAGCGGCATCTCCCTCCAAGTAGTTGGTTATGCGCCGCTTCCCTCCGCCAGCCTGGACAGCCGCAACTGCAGCAGATGTTGCTCGGCGCTTTTCCTCGATCGCGGCAGCCATCTTTTCGTATTTGGTGCGCATCTTGTTGCGTACGTCTTGCAGTGCCTCCTTGCATAGCGTCACCTCGCGACGCTTCATTCCCTTCCACGAGCTCAGGTGTTGTGTGCAACGAATGGCTGCACCGGTGAAAACATTGAAGCAGTACTTACACTCGTACTGCTGTGCTTTGCCTTCTTCTCGCACAATGAGGCTGAAATGTTTGAAGACAGCATGTTCCGGCATGTCGGGAAGGTAATCCCTACCCTCAGGTCGAACAATCCGAGAACTCTGCACTGTCTCAACGGATGGCGGTGTGCATGGCGGGCTAGACATTACGAAAGAGACGGGGAACTGATGAATTGCGTAGTTGCTTGCAACCCACTAAGTAGCACAACGAGAGAAGGGAACATTGGGACAGGTGGTTGGAGTGAGTAGATGGGAGGGGATTCAATGCGGTAACAAACAGAGCGCACAGAGTGTGTACGTGAAAACGCGATTTGACAAATTGACACAACCAATCTCGACTACGTGGGTTGAACCCACGTCCACGATTGGACAAGTCACGTATGTGCA